TACCTTTATGTTACAACTTTACTATATGTGAAAATTAGAAAAAGTTAAACATAGGAAGCATATTCCCCATTTTCAAAAGTGAGTTATCTCCCCTCAAAATCGGAACTCTTCTACACTAGACTAAGTTCCGCGGACTACGCATTACGATAATACAACAAAATAGGGATTAACTTACACACTGTATTTAAAAATTTTAAAAGAAGGAAACGGTTTGCATTTTTTAAAGATAATAAATTATTTTATAAAGGGTCTGTTAGCCCCCCCCCTTTCTAGAAAGCTATACGAATTAGCTAGCCCCTTGACCCCCCCCCCCCCCCCCCCCCCCCCGTGCGTAAAGGTACAGAGAAAGAATATGTAAATGGGTTGAACAGTTGAATATGAACCATAGTTGTGAAAATTAAAAATTATTAGAATTATTAATTGTGAATTCAATAAAATTACGGTACATATATTTTTTCACAAATGTACATGTATGTCAGTTACACGGGGTCTCTCTCTCTTTCTCTCTCTCTCTCTCTCTCTCTCTCTCTCTCTTTTACACACTTTGCAAAAAAGACTAACTTAAAAAATTAAATACATGTACTTACACTGAAAGGATTTGAAAAAAATAAATAACACTTGAGAAAAGAATGTTTTCCGTTAATTAACGAGAAATACGCTAGGAAATTATTGTATCAATTTCGTGTTTCTGCTCTCAATTCTCTGATCTAAAACAAAATGTGTATTTTACTCGGGAATATACATGTACATATGCTTAGATCCTGCACTAAAACTTTGATTAAATGCAGCTTAGACTTTATACGAAATATGTAAAACGAATTCAGGTCGATGCTATTTTAATTAGTCTTTCTTTGTTAAATGAGCACATGAGATTAAATTATTCATTTAGAATTCCATTCAAAGTTTTAATACCATACAATGAATCAATTATTTTACAAATAAAAAATTCTAGAAACACGGTTAATTCAAATGAAATAGGCCTTTAATTGTCACCAAATGTGTTCTTGTAAGTAAAAGTTCTATGTTATGACATATTACAATCGAGCAAAAACGCAGTTTCTTGGTATCGGTCGTGGAAGACGAACTACTGCTGTATATGCAGCAGTGTCAGAGGTAAAACTATAGATGGACATGTCATCAGTCTCCAAAAAATTCCTAGAGATACAAAGAAAATATGGCTGCAGCAGGCTAGATTAATTCGTATAAACTTTATAACTAAAAATTTAATTGTTCCGCACATTTTGTAAATAATGATGATCCGTCTGTAGAACATCCACTACCGAAAATTAGCTTTTTTTTTAAAATAGGCCTATTCGAATATGTATCAGCATTTTATCAGTAATTTGTGGGGTTTTTTTCTTTTGTTTTTTTGTTTTTGTAAGGGGGGGGGGGGGTCACACAGCACCTTATTATAGTAATATACAGATTAATACAAATCCAGAAAGAGACTATGAGTGGGCAATTAAAAAAAATACGAATCAGTTAAAATTTCTTTTTATTCACAAACACAATAACATTTTTTCCATATGACAGAGGCATTACACCATGAACATGTTTACATCAAGAACGTCCGCGGAAGTGACTTTATTTATAGCGCATGCGTATTAAACACAATAAAAGAGTTCCCTTCAGGGGAAATAACTCACCTTTTGAAAATGGGGAATAAAAATAACTAATAAATCCTAAAAATTTAAGAAAAGTAGAGGAAATTCGGATTAGCAAATATCCATTTTATTTAAATTATCCATGTCATTTTGGTAATGTCATCTGATAGGCCCTATATGTAGTATCTTTTTTGGCAAAAAGAGAAACGTTCAATCTTTTGAATTACAAGTAGGGATCGCATGATTGGAAACAGTAATTTTTTATTCTTAATGTCTAGGAAAAAGGTAATGACCTTGACCTGACCTTGCCTCTAATATTAAACGGTCAAATTTAATCTCACTGATACCATCACTTAGGGATATTGTCCTCTTCATTCTGTGAAAAGTTAATTCATTTTTTAAATACAAGAAATGTGAGAAGAATCCTACCTTAAACATTTGTTACTGAACTATCACTTTTCGAATGTTTGTGGTAACAAATTCTTTCGGAAAATCCGAAAATCCAATAAGATACATTTTTTTATATAAAAAAAGAAGCCGGGTTTGATAAATGGTGTGCAGACTTCATCATTAACATCGGGTTTGGGCTTCCTTTTATTACAGGTTGGCTCAACAAAGAAACATGTGATAAGCTGAGTCTATAACGTAAGTGTAGTTATAAAGAAGCGAGTCTTTGACAAAAGTACATGAAATTATGAATAGCTAGGTGTTTTAGGTAAGTGCATGTACTTGCCATAAACTAAGTCTATGAAATTAGTTTATAAATAATTGCTAAGAATGACATACTAGTGTATATGATCATGATGATTGTGATGAACTTATTCTGTGAAAGTATAATGTATATATTATTGATGAACTTTAATATGTTGACGGTGCGACCGTTAGAGCGAGCGCAAACTCTTCTATTGTTTTAAATTTAGATCGGGCTCTTCAAACCGCACGTGACATTTGGTGCGTCTAGACTCTGACGTCACATGACGTCGCATGTAAGTAAATACCAAAAAAAACTGAACAGTGCTGAAAGTTAATGAAAAAAGTTACGTTTACAATTTATATTAAATATGTATCCATTTAAAAAAGGCGAGTAAACTTTTTGTTGAACATTTGCCGTCATTCTCGCGAAAACGCAACTTTGTTAAGTGATGCATTGTGGGTCAAAATTACTGCGGCAAAAAATTCTAAAGAATATGAATGTGCAGTAGTCCGAATTTTCTCTTCGCCTAGGCGTTGTCGTTAGAGCTCGCAGTTACGAACGTCGCTTCGCGACGCTCGCTGCGCTCGCTATAATTGTGATAAACTAAGACCATGACATAATTGTATATAATTGTGATGAACTAAGTCCATGACATATGAAGAGCTTAGTCTATGACTTAACTGTATTGTTAAGAGCTAAGTCTATGACTTAACTGTATGTATAATTATGACTTAACTGTATGTATAATTATGACTTAACTGTATACATGTATAATTGTGATGAACTTTATTTCTATGATTTAACTGCATGTATAATTATGATGAGATAAGTCTATGACTTAATTGTATGCATAATAATTGTAATGTGCTAAGTCTATTGCATAAATGTATATAGCCTAATTTGGATGTTCTAAGTCTACGAGATATGTGTATATAATTGCAATGAACCGAGTCATTAAGATAAGTGTATATAGCTGCGATGAATCAATTGAGTCTTTGATATAATGAAAACTGTATATAATTGTGATAAGTTGAGCTTTGACATAAGTTTATACAATTGTGATAAGACTATGACATAGATGTATATGAGCTAAATATATTACATGTGAACATAAATTTGATGAGGTTGAAATATGATTTTATATATACTAACTTCAGTACGAGTTTATTGGCTGTAATTTTTGGAATAAGGTTAAACATTTATAACTTTTAAATTATGAAAAAGAAAATTATAATGTGATTGAGTGACGACCATTACTTTTAAAGACATGTATTTTGTTAGAAATGGGACGACTGAATATTAATTTTGTGCGAGCGATAAAAAGAACATCACAGAGTATTCCCCGCCATAGATATTCCGGACTCCCGCCACTTAGCACGTGTTAACGGGACAGCTGATTGTGTTTAATATGTCCTCTATGATAGTTACCCCCGCGGAGTGTCACCACACTTTATCAACAGATTACCTTGAAGTTCTAAGTTCAGCGCTCGTATACATATGTACATATCTATGTATATCTATTACTGTATATTTGATATACGCCGTGATCCTCTCTCTCTCATCATTGTACTTAAAGCATTTCAAATGTTTGGTCGTAGTCCGATGTCACAACAGGCCCGCCCGCAAAGATGAAGATAATTATTTAATGGTATTTTTTCACATGAAATTCTATCCAATCCATTATCTATTTGACGTATCATCCCAACATTTTTGAATAGATGAATGTCTACTTCTGTCAACAGAGATCAGGCTCTCGCGAGAAACCACGAGATTTCAGCCTCGTTATTGACTTTATCACTAGGAAGGCATAGATATATAATCTTTTGATGTTTTACAAACGATCGAGGAATGCTTATATATCAATTTTCAAGTGAAAACAAATAGTGTCTTTTAAAGAGTCTTGCTCTACAGACAGTGTATTCAGTGTATAAATTCCAGCCCAGCTTTACGGTGCCATGTTTGTACAGACTGTACAATGCAAAATATTTAATGTCATTACTGCATTCGTAAGTACATGTATTTCACACGGCATTAAAACAAATAGTGCACCCCCTGTTATCAAGATATAATTAGATTTATCACATGCTCAAGAAATGCATTGTCATTGTAGATTCCTTGAACAGGATTTTAATTTCGATCTTACATTCTAAAGTCATTGACATTGAAGACATCAAAGAATACTTTTATTCTTTCTTACTAAATGGATGACCTTATTATCTAACACACTTTGCAAAAATGAAAGAGAGAGAGAGAGCGAGAGAGATAGAGAGAGAGGGGGGTTTGAAAATATTAATACGTTCAACAGATTTTTTTACGGTTTGAATATAGATTGACGAATTTTGATATGTTTGATGTAAGAAACAACCTGTAACCACAATTCACCTGTTGATCCTTGACACCATCTATATATGCATTACTTAGAACTATAATTGATTACCAAACATGCTTGTCTTAATTACCTGCAATCGTGCAGTGATTTTTTCTTGTAAGAGAAAACTATTACATTTTATCTGCCTTTTTTCCTTTTGCTGCTGTTTTATTTAGCTTGAAACTTTCTTTTAGTCAAATAAAAATTTGAACGATATTCAAATTGATAAATTCAAAATGCATCCTGACATTTAAATGTGTAGAAAGTCGAATTCAGAACATTTGTTTTTACTTTGAGGTCTTTAAATCAGAGATATAAATTAAAATCAGCCTACCTGTGTTTCACTGTACGAGCATACACTGAAAATGACAGGTGTACTGGGTAGATAAAACTCAGGTGAAAAAAAATCCAGGTAAGTTAAACACAATATCCCGGGGTCCCGCGAGCGGAGCGCCGACCCTCGACCGTGAGAATCGAGAGATCGTAGAGGAATTATTTCAGCGGCTCTCAAACGGAGGGTGAAAGTTCACTTCTCAACTTCAGAATCGTGCACTCGCTATCCCCGTACATCAAAATCAATTGACCTACTTTATAATAACTGATTATTAGTAAATTATGTTGTCTGTACGTCTAGAGGTTTAGCTGTCAATCATTCCAGAATTAGTGTGCGGCCACTGTTCGGGGGTTCGCTACATATATATATATATATATATATATATATATATATATATATATATATATATATATATATATATATATATATATATATATATATATATATTTTACAAAAGCGGGTGAAAGTAATGACGTATGACCGAGCACTAGATTATTTATGATTTTTGATAACATATGGCTAAAAATCTGGCGTTATCCCCCCACATTAAACACTCCGATCTCAGAGCAGAGATTTGTTTCTGGGACTCCTACTTTAATTTTACGTCGGTCAGGAGCGAACGAGTAGTAAATATTTATAATAACATAAAACTTTCAAAGATCCCTCGTCGCTAAGAGTTTATTTAATGATAGAAAAGTTGATCGGCTACGTAAACACTCGAGGGAAACTTTGTAATGATAGTGTGTTCTAATGTTACTGATCGTAAGCTACACGTCTCTGATTGACGTATTGGGTCAAAGGTCAAGCGTGTTCGACGGGAGCGAAATTGCAGTTATTTTAATTTGTGCAATCGGCAATCCTCGGCTGACTCCGCTCCGCTCCATTCAAACCTCGGATGTGATTGGTGGAGGAATACGCAACAGATCCTTACATTTCTCCGCCGGAAACTGCCTTATCACTCATTTCATATTTCGCTCTGCATAACGTTCTTCGAAAATGTTTCTTAATTTATGCAATTCTTTATAGTAAACAGATTTTGATTACATCCTCATGTTAACAGGCTTTGAAAGCAAGAAAAAACTGTTGAATGTGCCACAAAATAACTCCGATTTCAAATGTATGACATTTGAAAGAAATTCAAATAAGATCACATGACTGAATCAGAAAGATGGTAGATCACCGTTGACGTCCGAGGTTATGTGCGAGGTACGAGTCATCCGAGGAACTCCGAGTGTAATTTGTGTACATGCAATATTTAATAGAGGCTCATAGCCAGGTAGTTAAATCAGACGACGCTCAATAATCACATTTTTAATAATATTTTTAAAATCATTTTTCTAAAAAGAAAAAAAAAGTACCTTTTAAAGAGATAAAATTTTAAACAAAACAAAATCGTTTTCGAGTGGTCGCATTTCATGTGTAAGATCACGTGATCATTCTAATAGAACAATTGCTTGTTATGTAGACATGCACACTCCGATTTAATAACTTAAAGCAAATTATATTTAGAAAAATAAAAGTAGAAAACATGAAATTAACACATATTCATAAATAGGTGTTGATAATTTAAAAAAGAAAAGAAAAGAAAAAAAAAACTTCTTGATGAACATTTCTAAAGTTTGGAAAATTTCCTCCTACATTATTCCGAGGCTCTCGGTAAAATTGCCGCATACGAAGTTTAAACTAAAAAAAATCTTGTAATTCAGAATTTTGTTCTTGTTCCACACTTGGCTGACTTAATTCTGTGTGTTAATTCCGGAAACAATTCGGTCTACGTTTTTCTTTATTATTATAGCTGCGATTTAGTGTCCAAGCATATAATTTATTCCTGTATATTGAGATTAATCCGCTGATAAATTGGGGTACACGGCACATTATTCATTATCATGTAAATATGTTTATCAAATATGTATAGGGGGAATCAATTAATTTTCTATAAAAGAGGTAAATTGAATACTCAACAGTACGTTTAATTTAGTCAAGAATATTACAGCTGTACCTTGACAGACAAAATTTAATATAACATCTAATCCTAATAGCATTGACACAACAATTTTTACTCTGTGTGTTTTTATATACTATATACTCTCTTCCACATTTCCCTGAGGTAACATATTCTGTTAAAATCTATCGTCGCAGAATACGTATGCGAATTACCTGTGTTTGCGTAAATGTTATACACAGAAAAGGTATTGTAATCACTTAAAGAGACCTTCTGATATACTAGTAAGCATTGTGACCTTCGATGTAAGGTGTTTGTAATTACGCCATATCCCTCACTATTGACAGTTCACAATCAAAAATATTTCACCGCAATGACTTGAGTATGCACTATTTTGATGTTTTAAGTGAGCATTGTATTATATTTACATCCACTGAATATTTTCTCCTTTATTTCTTAAGAAAACCCATTGCGTTAATCACTACATGAACTACATTAGGCATGTCGCCTGTACAGATTTCTTGATCAGTGGCTGTTCCATCAATGAAACGTATAAAGACGTTCGCATCATTAATACAATAATTAATCTTTTAAACCCTACTCTAAATGATTATTTAAACATATATAAATATAAACAATAAAATGTCTTTCTTTGTTACTACTGAAATTAACGGTCGCAGCTATTGCAGAATTTTTTTTTACATAAGCCGCGTAAGCGGGTTTTGTATTTTTTCTGCAACAGCTGCTTCCGTTAATTCCAGCAATAACAAAAAAGAAAGCATTTTATTGTTTAAATAAAATTAAACTAGATTTACTGTGAGTGCAGGGATTACTAGATGATGCCCCGCCTCTAATGCGATTATAATTGCAAAGACCATATTTTGTTTTGGAAGAGCCGAAAGTAAAATGGCATTATGTAAAAAAGAATCTATGCAAGTACAGTGTATCATAAAATTTTATTCAGTGGAAAGGAAGAGTAGCGGACAGGAGATGGGTACCCCAAAGTGTAAAAACGTACGGACGGACGGATAGAAACACTGATGAACGTACGTACAGACGGATCCTGATCACTATAATATATTGCTTTTCAGACTGGGGTTTGATTAAAAGAGAATAAAAACGTACAGAAACACGAGAATCATACAATTAAACTGTTCGTTACATCTATGTATGATAGTGTTCTTATCGACAGATAGAATGGTTCATTTATGAAGTTATTTTTAAAGTTAGATTTATTTACACATATTTCTGAAAAATAACCAATTTAATAAAATCTCAAAATGGACGTAATTTTAATTAACCATGTAAAGAATTATTGAAAGGGAAAAAACTGGAACATATTTTTTGTCAAAAATATCAACTGCAAATAACTTGTCCTCATTTAAATAGTTACGCTGATTTCCACACGTATCTGTGTTTAAGAAAAGTAGTTTTGAGCACCTACTCAACTAAGAAGGAAATTAATGGCTTCGAATTTCAACAATTGTCGAAACATTTGGTAAGATAACTGTGTATATATAATACTTGTAAAACTCATATAATGTGGAAGTATATCAACTGTTAACTGAACTCTTGAAAAGTATCACATAACGTTACGTGAAAGTGTCACATTCTCAAGAATCTTGGATAGTACAAACTGGTGACTTCAGAATTATACAGACCTGTATTCCCAAAGCACCAGGGAAGTCTAAAAGGTATCTAAATTCTTATGCGATTTCAATATACAAAATTTTGCCGAGTTTACCTGTTATTCACACAGACAAATAAAAACATTTAGTTAGAGTGATTGATATGTCTTCAAGGTCAAAGCATATTCAGACAGTATCATTGAGGGAATTGATTGAAAGGTTCCAGAAAGCCATTTATTACTCCCGGTTATTTTGAGGAACGACAACCCTTATTTGCATGATCATACTATCAATGTTATGTTTTTGGATATTTTTATTGAAAATTTCGTTAATGGTAACCTACATTTGTAGCTATAAACAAAGCTATATGAAAAAATGCGATGTCTTCAACTTTTTAATTATAAACTTTTAGTAATATACTCTTATCACCTGGGTTTACGTCTCTCAGCTGATTAAGCAAGAATATGCTCTACGTGTACAAACAAATCGACTATACGAGGCAAGCTATTAATAACTAAATTGATGAACCAAGGATATCAAAAGTCTAGTTTGAACTAATTTTTCTTTCGTTTTAAGGCTGATGCAAGACTGTCAGCAAATAATTCTATCATTAAATTAAAAGCTGACTCGCAATTTTCAAACTGTCTATATCTTTGCGTGTTCAATATTTTATAAGGCGCAAAGAGCAGTAACTCGTGTAAGGAAGCCAAATTTAGTTTCCTTGTCATGTTCCCTTTCATCAATTTAGGGAGTACGCGCAATCATGACATTTAATTAGTGCGCGTTCAACAGTGCTCTTCCTATTTCTCCTTCAACATTTTAAACAAACGACATGAAGTTCTCATATAAACATTCGTTTAAATCAACAATCTATCATTGGTAACATTTGAGAAATTTGAAAGATGCTGCAGATTCCCAGGAAATCAAAGCCCAATAGTCCGTGTTCTCTTCCTAGCGTCCCAACTGTGCACAGGATCCATCTCCATTTTATTTACGACCACGCCTGAACCTCAGACGGCTATTACACTGCAAACATCAACATTTCCGATGGTGACTCTTGCTCTAGCAAAACCAGTATATTTCTAGTGGACTTTTGCAAGGAGCGCTGAATCCTTCAGTTGACGGCTTACTTTTACACTAAAAAAATGTGCGGAAGCTCTTTTAAAATATGAATATTTAGCCCAACATTTAATACAACGAAAATAACGGATTATTTTAATCCACATATTAGTTGTCCTCGAATAAAACGACAACCACCTTACACTCAACTCCCGGTCTTCACTTTTTCGTGCTCCGAGCACCATACCTATTATTACTAGAAATGTTTTTTCTTCGTATATTATCAATTCTGTACTTCTGTACAAGTTACAGGATTTTAAATACCAAAGTAAACCGTTAACTGTAAAAGTAAGTACTTCTCGCAAAGTCCACTAGCAGCATGATCGAATCAGCCTTTCAAACACAGTCACGATAGCAGAACAGTGCACAGACACATTTTCTTCTTTGGCTTTGCCTTTAGGTCACTTACCTTATCATTTCTTATTTAGTTGTAACCCCACTGATACCTTTCAAAGAATCAAGGGTTGGTGCATGATCACAAATTTAAATGTTTTTTTCCTCTAGGAGAATGTAAATGATTATGTATCCGGAGTCGTAATCAATGAGATAAAAAGAAATATACGAAAATGACAAAAATCAGAGCAAAGCATTTACGGTTCTCTAAAACATCAAAGGTGGGGTCAGATGCTATGGCAGAGTAAGCATACTCTGTCAACCAGTCACACCCAATGTGTGGTCCTTGTCATGATCAGGAAATAATGAGAAAATCAACCATTTAGTGTGTTTATAATTATAAGGGCTTAGCAATTGATATGAAAAAATCCATTCAGCATTTAACTTAATGAACGATTATATGTGCTGGCAACGTCATTATATCGACCATAGAACTTGCAAAATGACAATTCTAAACGAGATTAATTATTTACCTGCTTCAGAAACTTTTTTTTCAATAAGTATCTCGTTTTAAAATTTGTTCATAGGTAGAGCATGCTCCTTCATATCGAATCAACTGAGAGATATGAACCACAAATACAAAGTGATGACGTTTTATTGCTTCATAAGTAAAAGATGACGATTGAAGGTTTTAATTCACCGTGTGTTTTTTTTCATAAAGCGTAAGTTGTTGTTAAACTACCATTAACGTCTTTTTTCAAGTAAAATATCTTCATAAGAAACATATGTGTCGGACTCTATGGTATATTTTTCGAGGGCTGTTCAATAAATAATGTCCTGAACTGTATGACATACAATACAGATATCATATGATATTAAACTTGACTTTCTCTCACTATTGAATCTTTACTGAATTTATAACAGTTTATGTGACTACTTTTCATAACATGGTTTCATCGTGAGAAGCTAGGAAACAAGGGTATTCGAGACACAGCATTATAAATGAATGGTATAGAATCAGTAAACAAGAGTGAAAATAAAGGCTATATAAAAGCTGCTGTAAAACTTGTTAAAAATCCCAAAGAAATATTCACTGAATATGTGTCATTTACAGCAACCGATGCCTGTTTTATAGACAAATGAGCAGGTTGATTTCAATGATAAAAAATTATATAATGGGCATCTAAAATGGGTACCCTCCTTGCCAACAAAAATTATAACAACTTATGTACTGTTTGTCAAATTTCAACAAATAATATTTGATGATGTATGATTGATGTTAAGACACATAGCAAATTTGATAGACATCATATCGGGAGTAATTAACACTGTTTTTAAGAAACGTTTGACAGTAAAAAAAACTTGGTACTCAAAAGTCACCCTAGATTTTGAAAAATGAGTGAAGACGACAGCGTGTACGAAAGTCTAAACAATTATTTTAAAATATCAGTAATTGTAGTTATCCACGTTTATTTTATATTCAAACAGATATTGGAACATGAATCTATTGCTTAAAAACATCAAAACAAAATTTACCATAAGATGTACTTGATAATAACGGCGAAGGTATGACAAAAGCAAAGGTATGCAAGAGCACAAAGAAAGATTTATATGCATTTTTCTTAAATATTAGTGGTATTGTTGTTCAAATTCGAATTCGGGGAGACAGCTTAATATCTGGAGGAGTCTAGAAAGGAATTTTTTGCAAAAAATCGAATAGTTTATTAGAGGAAGGACCCAGAATCAGGAATCCACTACATTGAATTTCTTCATGACAGCGTCCAAACCTGCATGCCCTGAAGAGTATAGGGGTTTTCGGGATAAACAGAAAGTTAAGGCTTTTTCATATTAACAATATTTGCCAGATCTTTGACCTTTTGACTTCTTTCTATTTCAAAACTTGAAAAAAAAACACCTTTCAGAAGTCCAGGAAATCATTGAATCTGCTATTTTCCAGTATACTAAGGGTCATACCCAAAAATGAGTTCCAAAAGCAATCAGAAATTGAATAAAAATGTTACGGACATGTGTTTGAATTAAAAAGATTTATAAGAAAAAAATCATGAAGACCAAATCATTGAAAAGCGTAGTTTGCTTCTCTCTGAGCACCGAGGGAATTATTTATTGTAATTATCGTTTTTCAAGCTTACTGGGATATATTTTATTGACATAAGAAAAGAAATAACCATGATTGTTTATTGACAATACGTCGTCGATATACTAGTATCTAAATGTCAAGTTGAATGCCACAGCAAGTGTTTTCTTCTTTTCACACTATTATAAAAATTAGATTATTTAATGTATTGAACGAAAAATTATTGGTTTTTGTCTTAAAAACGTTTTATTATATAGTCTTTTTGTATTCCCTACATAATCTATATAAGCACAAACAGTTCATAACACTACATATTTTCATTCGCTGTGTTTTTCTAATAAGCCAACTGTGAAATTGATTTGAATACCAATTTAGTGTATACTCACGCGTAGAAATATACAAGGAGAAACGTGCGTTAACGTGACGTCACAATGAGGCTGTACCGACGTTAGAAAAAGTGAAACGAAATAGGGCAGCGAGAAATTTAAATATTGAGTTTATATTTAGCCCTAGCGCTTCCAAATAAGTAAAATGTAAATATAAGGAATGTTTTAAAGTTTAGTGTGAATTATTGGTGTGTAAACCACACAGACATGCACGTAGGCATATTTTTCATGAAGCGCTAGTGCGCTTTATGAAATATGCCTACGTGACAAGTCTGTGTGATTCACAACGACCGCAGCGAGCTACGTATCTGAGCAGGATAAATATTATACGAACCTATTGCAGATTATTTTTAAACATTTGGACGTCTTACGCAGCAAAACTTGGAAAGGAAAATACGGAGGTGACAAACTGTAATCTGGAAAAATTTTTCAACGACGGAAGTTCGTTAATGCAAATGGTCTCGTAATTCAGTCTTCGATGTCTTATTTATACAAATTCGGACTATTTAATGAAACAATTATGCACTCTTTTGGTGTTGAATATGGTTTGTTATTCACCAGAAAAATATCCATATTGACCTCGGATTCGAATGAAAATTCCGAAAATATAATCTTACAAATATTTATTGTTTGTCCATTATCTAAACACCCCTTTTTTCCCGTCAATTCCCAATTATGACAAGGACACGGCGGGTGTGACCGATCGGCAGAGGATGCTCACTCTTCCACGGCACCTGATCCCACCTCTGATGTTTAGGAGGTCCGTGTTTACTATGCTCCTGATTCTATATTGTTTCATGAACTTTTGATCTTGAATACTGTTCGTTTCATTTAGCTGACATCATATCCTTTCATAGATTAAATTTCTGCTAATAATACTTCGGGTGTGTACACATGTCATGTAGCATATAGTATTTAGAATAAGATACAACACGCCAATCATTTTATACACTTTCAAGAACATTCAAGAACATAATTCTTTTATTGATAGTTGTAGTTTTGGAGTAAAATAAAGTGGCCTTTTTGCACTAAATTATAATTCAATCGAAAATCACATATTCGACAATTTTCCTCTAATATTTTTATTTCCCCCAAAAATCATTTGACAAAATAAGCTATTAATGTATTTGAAAAAGGGAATTTTAAAATGATGACTAAGAAAGAGTTTCAAATTACTTTGCATCATTAATTATTTAACCTTTCTGCACTCACAAATTTAACAACTAAGAACATTATTTTACGTCTTAAATTTTTCTGATATTAAACAGATTGATCAAAATTATTTTATATATTTAGAAAAGAAAAACAAATGTGGGGGTTTATGATGAAAAGTTTAAAATATTACTAAAACAGGTGTTGATTTTATGCTAAAATTGGCTTCAATGGAAGCAAGAACCTATTTTCTGTAGCGGAAAGGTTTTTTGTACAAGAAAATAATAAATGTGTCCCATTTGAGATATTTACAGTACTGTTAAGTTAAGATTCCTATTATCCATGCCGGTATCACACAGAGCTGTTTTATTTGCAGATAATGTTTTATACTCGTTCTGAAGTATCTATCTATTCATTTCTCAAAAACTCTTTTGTTATATCATGACAAATATGATAGATATACAATGTATTCCGAAGGTGCATGAAAAAAAATGAAGCTTATTTCAAATTTTCAATGCAAGAAAAATCACATTTTGTGAGTCTAGCTAGACAGGTCATATAATCTATATTGCTAAGTAATTTGAGATTTTTTCTTTGTCACAATTTTAAAGTGCTTTAAAGCACTGATACTTTATTTTGACCCATAATTTATTGGGATAAAAACATTAGAGAGAAGACGTCGAGGATGTGAATTTTGATTAATACACATATTTCAATGCAACAAGGTCATATTACATGTAAATGTACTGTAGTGCCAAATGAAGCATACTACTCTCTAAGGTTTGTTTTTATTTTTAATTAAGATACATGTAGGTTTGTAGAAACAAAAAGTAAATTTAAAAAAATTAAGACTTTAAATATCAGGATTCAACCACCTTAAACGAATTTTTATAGACGAATAAGAATCAGCTCTTTAAATAAAAGTAAAACAAACAATCAGTATTGTAACTGAAAGTCTGTGAATGAACTATGAACTACAAAGTGGTTTGGCTATTGATTTCAGCAAAACTTTGCAAGTGAGACTTTTCATGCAACATATGAATAGATATACAGAAACTCTCAAATCAGTAGGGATTTTGCTCCTCTTAGACGCCAGATCCCACCTCTGTTGTTTCCAGGTGTAATAATTTTACTCTGTCACACACTATCCTACCACGGTATGAAACTGCATGATAGTATTATTCATCAATATTTAGGCATTTTTTAGCTCTCACAATACGTATATTATGTTTATAATTTAACGGATTTTCTTTTTCTTTATTCAACTCCTGAAAAGTTAGTAAATATACATCTTCTAAGTGAATATTTGAAATGCTGTACAAAAAGATTATTCCTCATGGTTGACAGAAAGTCAAAAGATAGATAACTCTCGCTCTCACTTTCAAACTAACGTATTTAGACATGGCGGATGCTCTTTGCAAAGCACAACCTGGCATTGTCTATTTCGAAGAAGACCCAGGGGTAACAGACTTTGTTTTCCTTATAGAAGATAAGAAGATCCATGTGACCAAATCAATCCTGATGCGAGCTTCTCCAGTTTTCCGTGCCATGTTCACGTCTGACATCAAGGAGAGAAACGAAAGTACAATTCAACTCCAGGACAAGAATTACGAGGATTTTGTGTTGTTTCTGAGATGTTTTTATCCTGGGGAATATGTTGAACTAAATGGTTTGTATAATTGATTGATTTTATTTTCTTGTTGTACCACTACAAAATTGAAACTAAATGTAATTTTGTAACTCTTTATGGATAACATAAAAACTCCATAGGAACTTAGGTGTTATTCACAACTCACACTTATAATGAAAGATTTGTCAAAAATTGAGCCTTCTCTATTATTCAAAACCAGTAGTAAAAAAAGTAAAAACACAATAGTTTTGTTAACATCGCGCATTTATGGGTTATATTAAGGAATGTTTTGTCCCACCATTTAATTTTATAACTGTAGAGTTAAAGTTTAGCAATGTATAAAACACTTTTAGTGAATATAAAGCACGGGCACTTGTTTCGGTATTCAAGCATGATTGTGACGTAAACCTTTTGTTTGTGTTGTCCATTCTCTAGCATAATGTTGAGCTAACTCCCCTAACAATCCATGAAGTCACCTGTAGGTGTCCATTCTTTTTGGAAAACTGTCCTTTCTTAAAAAGAATGGACAGTTAAAACAAACAGAATGGAGAGTTACAGGTGAACACAAAAAGGAAAAAAAACAAATACATTAAATATGATTTAATTTACATGCAAATAACAAAATGAACTTGGAGATTTAAGTTAATCCTGAACACAGTGTCTGCATCGGATCTGTTTGATTTTTAACAAAACTTGAATTAAATGACACAATTTCACATTTTGGAAGCATCATTCACTCGAGAAGAATCCATTTTAAGCTTGAAGTAGGCTAATATTAAATCCATCACCTCAAAACAGTTTGCACTATGAAAACTATACTGCCGCAGTGAAAATTTCCGTAGAAAATAATTAAAACTAAAACATTTCCAGATCTTATTTGAAATACATTTTCAAGTCGAAGTTTTGCTCATGGCTATCCAACACTCGGAACACAATTTGCATATCACAAATACACTGCTGCAATTATTATCCCCAAAAACTGATTTGAAATTGAAAAAAAAATTCTGGTTGGAATTCGAAATATCTGTATTTGTCGTCGAAGTTTTAGGGAGATCAAAATTTGGATAATATTTTCTTTTACGCTTCCTATTCTCTGTTTCCAGGTC